GGAGATCTCTCCAATGACATGGAGCTTATGGTTGTCTGTAGAAACGAGCACCCAGGAGACCTGTGGTCTTGGTGGCTGTTGCTTCTCATTATCCAGGCCTGAAAAACTTAGGAACTCTGAGGACACCACCTGCCAGGCATTGAGTACACAACAGTAGGTTCCCAACTAGAGCTTCTCAGCTCTTAGCCGCGCTGCACATGTCTCTGGCCCCCAGCTCCCCTCTGGGGTGGGGCCTGCAACTGGCCAGCTCTGTGCTTGCCTTTTTCTGTTTCTGAGAGGAGCCTATGAGGCCATCCTCAAACTGACCCTGGCTCTTCTATTCTTCCGTCCTCCCTACGCCTCTACTTCCTGACCCAAGCCAAAGCATTCCATTTTACCACGAGAGGTTTCCCGGCAAGTGGGGATGAAACTCTGGGTTGTGACTGCCTCCCTGGAGCCACCAGGTTCCACACACTCTGTTCACAATGTGAAGCCTGGGGGGTCTGACAGACGGCAGGATACAAACCGCAGGAGTCTGGTTCTTGGGAACACAGCTGGTCTACAGGAGGGGTGAAGATGCAGAGGAGACACCCAAGTCCCAAAGACAGCACTTGGGCTTTTCCACGAATGAGTTAAGCTTTAGTTTCTGCTTCCTGTGGCTGGGGCTGACCTTCTGTCGCTTGCCTCCGAGCCAGCGTTCACGGCTGACTTTCATTTCAGGGCTATTTTCTCAAGGAAAGAAACTGTCCTGCTGGCGCTGTTGTTTTTAATCTCAAGAGTTTCATGAGAAGAGTCACATGGTGGGATGCAGGGTGGCCAGGCCCTGGCCCTCAATGCCTGGCTGTGCTGCCCAACATTATGTTTTTGAACTTTCAAGATTGCACTTCAGCAGCCAAAGATGCTGTAGTAATGAGCACTGATGGTCTACTGGACCAAAAAAAAAAATCTTCTCAGGCTGCTGGCACAACCTGTTGCCACTGACGGGCACTGCCCCACTGTGAGCCAGGCTGGACTCCCCACAGCACCCTCCCTCTCCTCTCCGTACCTCCAGCCCTGGGTCACCCAGGGTTGACTTGGAGAGTTCCTGACTTCAGGACTCCGAGCATCCCTGGGAGCCTGTGAGAGCTCCCTGGGGAAATCTCTAGCCACTTCTTCTTCATGTATAGAAGCCAGGCGAGCATAAAATGCGACATGTGTTTTACTGTATGCAACTTCAGATCTTAAGGAAGAAGGTGAACAGTTTGGCATCAGGTGGGGAAAAGAAAAAACGTACATAAACTCGGCCTTCACTGGGGACTGTACCTAGGAACAGCCGGGCTGCTTATGCTGGGTTTCCATGCCCACAGTATCAACCCAAGTTCTACTCTGACTTAGGAATGACCTGTGGGTGATACAAGGGCAACCTCGGGGCTGGAGAGAGAACCCTGCAGAAGGGAAGAATGTGTGCCTTCTGTTACACATTCACATCACACATGTCATCATGTTATCCCCTGCACAATCTCAGAACAATATCCACCTCACATACACACATATCACACACACACAACACACCACAGCACATACAGACTCAACACACACATACAACACATACAACCAACACACACACATACACATACATACCACACAGAGACAGCACACACACACACTCAACACAGCGTGCACCACACATCCAACACATGCACAATACCAACACACACACACACAGAGAGAGAGAGAGAGAGAAAGAGAGAGAGAGAGAGAGAGAGAGAGAGAGAGAAAGAGAGAAAGTATGGAAGAAACTTCAGAGGCCTTCCCAGTCCAGCACTCTCATGGCTAAGCAGCAATGATATTAGAAACTCTTCGGGCTCCTGTTTCCAATGACAACCCAAAGTGGTAATAGACCATCCCAAAACAGCAGCATCAAAGGATCTTCTATGCTGACTCTGAGCCAGAGCAGGAAGGCCCTCGGCCATCGTCTGTACCTACATTTTTAAACAGAGCTGAGATCTCTTCAAGGAAGAGTCATGCCAGATGTTGAAGAGGGGCAGAGGGGACTTGCCCTCCCTACCACCTTCACACTCACCTGACTACATCTGGTTTATGTGGGGAGCTTGTGTGTGTGTGTGTGTGTGCGCGCGCGCGCGCGCGCGTGCATCTTTTTGTTTTGAAATGGAATTTTTGAGGAATAAGTTAGATTTCGTTTCATTTCCATGAGAGTTGAAAAAGCACTATCCTAGCTCCAGTCTTTGATAAAGAACCAAAGACATTCTGGTCAGTCAGAGCTATGGGCAGCTGAGCAGAGGTGGATCCAACTGCCCTTGATCTACAATGAAGCTGTCAAAGGTTTTCATTTGTGGTTTCACTAACGGGCCACCTGGTGCCTGAGCTGGATGACATATGTACTTCTGTGTCCAGATGTTTCTGAAGAAAGACCTTTGAGGGTTGCTGACCCCCATAGTAGTAGATGGGAAGTGGGTTCTCCCAGTCCTAGGGCCACTACCCAGCAGAGCACACTTGTCAGCAGAGCTGTTCCTCCAAATCTGGGGGCTGAGGGTTACGGTCACTTCAGTATCACTCTCAGAATCTGGCTAGCATTGGACGGCATGGGCTGCTCCTGCCCTCACTGTGGCCCCACTTTTCCCCTGGATCACAGGTGGGGCAGGAAAGGTCAGCTCTGCTGGCATGTTTCTACCTCATGTAGTCTTCTGGGAGTATATGCAGATACCACCCAGGCTACACAGATCTGTCTTGATTCTTGATGATGCCCTCAGTCTATATGTCTCATTGTACTTGATCAGATCAGAAATAATTGATGTCACCTCAAGTTCACTTCACACTGGACACCCCAGGCCAGGGATTGGTCCTCCACTGGGCCCATCTCAGGCCCCATGGTGCTCAGGCTTGGCAGGAAGTACATGCCAAGGATGAACATTGAGCACACCAGGACAGACTGAGGCTAGCTTTACTGAGGCGACCTCATAGGCATCAAGACAAGACTGATGGAGGAGGGGACCAGGACCACTGGAGGCTAGCACTCAGCAGGAACACAACCCATCTTTCATGCTCCCAGAGGGTTGCCCAAGGTGAGAGCATACTAGCAGACATGACCTTGCCCTACCTGTGATCCAGGGGCTTCCTGTGGAGGAAAGATAGGGTAAACCATAAAGGATAAGTGGTCCAGGAAGTTCCAGTTCTTAGAGGAAGGAACTCCAGCACAGAGGAGCAATCAGACCTGACCCTAAGTCTGTCTATCACCCAAAATTTGCCTCTGAATGCAGCAAACCAAAAAAGCTGTGCGGGGCCCATCTGCTTGGTAGCTGGCTGCCAGTTTGCCTTGCTGTGTAGTCTGGGCAAACCATTCACCTCCTAAATCCACAGTGACCATAGAGGACCCACCCAGCCCAGTGTGTGTAGGGGTTGGAGGAGGCAGAGACTTCATATGTTCTAATATGACATCAAGGCAAAGGGTTGGGCACATTGAAGCTGCAGAAGATGCTGACCGCCATTATTCTCACTGCGCATGGGCCTGTCCGCTCCTTCTAAAGAAAGGTGAAAAGAGACCACTGGGGTGAGACAAAGCCCAACCCACAGCAGGTCCCTATTCAGCTCCTTGGGGAGGAAGAGAAGCCTGGCCTAGACTATCCTGCCTTAGGAACCTCAAGACACTTGCCCAAGGGCTCAAGAGAGCTGTCCAGAAGCCCTGGAGTCAGCTGGACTGCACCTCTGTGTCCATGTTACATATGTGCAGATCCTTGTGCTTGCCTATTTATGAGTCAGTGTCTATGTCTGTGTGTCCATCTGTGTGTGCATGTGTGCATGTATGTGTGTGCTCAAGCACACGCATGTGTGTACATGCATGTGTTGCTAGGACTCTAACTGCTATCCCCACTCTGAAGGATGTCCACAAGTAACAAAGCCTAGATGGGGGCTGCCCTGATTGGATGGGTCAGTGAGAGGTAGTAATAGTTCTCTGCTCTGCCCAATGGGAAGATCGCTTAGATGCATGGTCCTGAACCTCTTCTGGAGGTATAGGCTATAGGCAGGTGCTTGCACATGGCCAGGGTGCCCCCTCACTTCAGGCTGCTCCAATGAGTGCAGTAGCCAGCACACCCTTAGACATGATAACCTGGACCCTCGGCCAGAAGCTCCCACACAGATGGGGAAGTTGCAATGAGAACTACCAGGCTTGGTCCCCAAGAACATAGCTCCCCTCAGTGAAGCTGAAAGCTCCCCCATGCAGCCCTTCCACTATCCAGGGATTAACAAGCCAAGCCAGGGAGAAGGTAGAAGGGCTTATGGTCTCCATGCACGTGAGCCCATACCAAGAATGAATCATATCATTATGGCAGGATTAGAAATAAAATGCACACTCTAGTTTAATAAAGTCAGCAGCAGCAAGCAGCAGGAGGGCCAGCGCACGAGGCTGCAAAGCCCCATGCCTCCTCCCACCCACAGCAGAGGCCCACGGAGACAGCACTAGGCCACCAGCCCAGGTGACACCAACAGGGGAACAAACGCTCTTTCTGCCAGGGCAACCCAGCTCAACCCTTTCCCCAGACCTGCTAAGAGCTATTTCCCAAATTCCCCTCACCAGGTACTTCTAGCCATATTCCCTCCCTCAGAGTTCCACACCCCAGACCTGCCTCTGCTTGGGAGAAATGGAGGCTCAATTGATGGTACCTCACAGAAAATTCATGTGCTATTAATCTGCTGGGTTCCCTAATGGCCATTCCCAGGTCTCTGTCTCCATTATCTACCCCTGCACAAGTGTCAGGGGATCTCACTGAGTACTCAGGCCTGCCAGTACTGCACGGAAGCTCTCTGAGGGAGGGATGCCCCCCGTTGCTGTCCCTGGCACAGAGGGAAGGAGGGAGGGCCCCCTGCTGCCCTTGCTGTCCCTGGCACATATGAGAAGGCCACAGAGAAGGTAAGATGCATATACAGATTGTAACTGCAGCCAGAGAATCCAAGCTCTCCCTCCTTGCCGTTTCATCAAGCGCTGTCTGGGGAAGAAGACAGACAGGATGAAGGGGGATACTCACAGCTCCAGCGATCTGGACAGGATGGCAGACAAGGTGAGCAGGATGCAACCATAGGGTCCCACTTCGAACTGAGGGAAGAGGAAAGAGGACCTGTCAAATGCACATTGCCACCTCAAGCCTGCCAGGGCCATGGCTTCATCTGGGCTTCATGGCTTCTCGCCTAGTCACAGAGGTTGGTGGGTAGTCATAGAGAATATATCTCATTCACGCAGACTTTCTTAGACTTCTAAAGGACAGAGGAGCACAGAACTGAATCCCCAAACCTGGGCGACATTAATGAAATCACGGAGCCCGTATACGACCTTAGAAGCACCAAAGCCCAGGAGCTAGCAGCAGTGACAGCATGTTCTATTCTGAGACCACTGTCACCTCTGATCCTGACAGAAGTCAGCTGAGCTCTGTTGTTACTGCCCTCTGCCAGAGAATGAGGCCACCCAGGTCCTGTCCAACACAACAGAGGCCTCAGGGGGCTCTGCTTGATACAGTTCCTTATACAGAAGACCTGAGCTATCTGTCAGCAAATAGACAGCGGATGTACAACAGGGCTGGGATCCCCTGGAAACCAGGAAGTTCCCACCTTTGTTACAAAGTTACTATTGAAAAGGGTTTTTAAATACACAGATTTGATTATCTTATTATCTTGAGTTTATTTGTCTGATACTAAAAATGTTGCTGATGCTGCATCTGGTCTATTTTGCATCTCAGTCTCTGCCCCCTGGACTCTGCCACTCTGAGCCAACCACATGGCTATGGGGGTGTTTCTGAACTTCCAGGTCCCTACCCACTTTTCTCCACTGTAAACTATAGGTAAAGTAGAAGTCTTTGCTTACAGCAAGTTGTCAAGCACTTAGAGCAAGGCCTGCCTGACACCCAGAGTGGCCGTGGTATACTATGGTTTAGAGCCGGGCCTGCCTGGCACCTATGGTGGCTCTGGTACACTATGATATACTTCCAGCTCTGCACTACCCACCTGCCCACCTGCCCAAGGACCACAACTGTGCTGGTTATTTTTGTTCATTGTTATTATTGTTTTGGTTTTTGGTCACTTGACACAAGCTAGAATCATCTGGTAAGAAAATGCCCGATTGGAAAAATGCCTCCACCAGATTGCCTGTATATAGCAAGTCTGCAGAGCATTTTATTGACTGATGATTAATAATATATTTTATTACTGTTTCTTAGAAGCCTGTTCTTTTCTAATGAGGGACGGAAAGGAAGCAGATCCAGATGAGAAGCAAAGGGGAAGAACAAGGAGGATTAGAGGGAAGGGAACCTATAATCAGGATGCTATGTGAGAAAAGAAGATTTTCAATAAGAGGGATAAAGGTAAAAATTAAAAATGTTTAAAAATAAAATAAAAAATCAGGATGAACAAACCATGGGGAGCAAGCCAGTAAGGAGCAACCCTCCTTGGCCTCTGCTTCAACTCCTGCTCCAGGGAGTCTTCAGTTCCTGCCCTGACGCCCGTCGGGGACAGAGCATGACCTGAGCATTGTAAACTGAAATAACCCTTTTCCTCCACAGATCGTATTAGTCATGGCATTTTATCAAAGCAATAGATACCTAACTACAACAATGTTCAACTGAGATGGAGAATCAAAAGTTCCCAGCCCCAAACCAGTATGCATTTTGACTCGTCCCACTCTGGGCATGATGGGCTGTATTGAAGCTGCAGCTATAATAGTACTCCTTGTGTGTCAACAATAATTTTTGAACTTAAAGCTAAAAGGAGAAATGGCTATTTAAATAAAAATGATGTCACTGAGAACATTTTTGTCTTTCCCTTGGCCACCAAAAAACTCAGAATCAAATATGGTATTTCAGTTCGGAAACTATGACAGCTCAAGTTTCTAATAAAATATCTTTCCTTCGAGGCACAGTCTTTGTTTTCGCCCTGGAGATCAAATAGCCAGTTAGCTGACCGTAAAAACGTAACGCTGAGTGGAGCTCCCGTACCAAGAGCACGTTTCCTCGCGGCAGAGTGATGCTCACCTGTGACCTCAGCATTGGCAGGGTGAGAGGATTGCAAGCTCAGGCCCACTGTGGCCTGTAAGGGACTGCAAGGCCAACCCGGGCTGTACAAGCCTGTTTCAAAGATAGACAATGCAAAAGGCTGGGCTCCGCTAAGGGGCTTCCTAAGAAGCAGGTGGCCATGTGTCTACTCGGTGACCGTGACTCAGAAAGAAAAAACAAAACATAACTCGGAAAGTGTGGAGAATGGCTCATCCAGAACAGGATTGCAAGCTCCTCTGCAAACACACGGGGAGGCCTCACCCGAAGGTGACTGTGGAGGAGAGGTCCAGAGAGGGCTGTCTGGAGGTGTGAGGTCTAACAGAAGTGCAGAAGCAGTGAGAAGAGAATGACCACTGCTTTGGGCAAAGCAAGAGAGTGCAACGCCCCAGAGGCTGGCCAGAGGGGACAGAGAGCCCTGAAAACACCCATTTTATAAACATGTGTCACTCTCTTGGGTAACAAACAACGTGAATAAATATCGCTCAACCTCATCTAAATTCTGTGACCTCAAACTAGGCACTTGGTGCTGTGGCTCCTACAATGAAAAACAAAGATGACTAAGACCCTGCCTTGCAGATTTTCTGGGTTATGTACGGTGCACACTCTCAAAGACAACGCCTGTGGATGCGACAGCTGCAAAGCAATGCTGCGGTCCCCACTCAGGTGACCCAGGCTTGGCAGGACTTGGATGGTGAATCCTGTGTGCAGTTTTGATACAACCTTCCAGTGCCTTAGGGGAGTCACCAAGATAACCTGTCTCCTCTTCTGCTATGGCCTTACCCTCTGCCTAGGGGAAGCCTCTGCTTTAGGATCTGTCTCCCCGTCCAAGCCTATGGGGTTTATCACCCTGCAAGGCTGTGGCATAGCTGTGACCATGCAAGCCACTAAGCTGAACCCAGTACATAGTAAGAAGCTGTTACTGCACAGTGTGGCATGGTTCCATGAGGACTCCTCGGAGAGAGCTTGCTTTGGGCCCCAAGAGAGTAGGAAACGCAACCCATTTTGGCCTTTTGGCCCTCCCAGAACACAACTGAATGGCACCAATATTCCTGTTTGTTTTTAAAAATACTTATTAAAATTATCTCATCAAATTCAAGCTGCCAAGACATGGGAGACCTCAGGGCATCAGGGTGGCATGAAAAGCAACCTGGGCCGGAAACCGTGGCTAAGGGTGGGTACAATGCCTGGTGACACTTGGGGAGAAGGGACCATTCTCCCAGCATAGCCCTGGCCCTGCAGAGACATGAACCCACCAAGGTATTCCAACGGGCAGCTGGACAGAAGACTCCCACGCTGGCTCGGGGCCACCAGACACCTCTCAAGTGGTGAATAGCAATGAAAACAAGATGGAGGCTGTTTATTTTGGGCAGTGGTGGCATGCTTTTCCAAGCCTGGCACGCTGAGCCTTTCTTAAGCACAGCCCATGAAAAATGGATTTGGTGTACTGAGTGCTGAGGCAGCTCAACTGCTTCCAGATAAAATATAAATTAAGCTGTGGGGGAAAGCACTGTTTCCAGAGGAATGGGGACCGGCTGCCGTGAGGAACCACGGGTAGCAAGCAGGCATGCCTAGAGTCTCAAGGTGGAACTGAGGGGGCCCTCACCTGACAGCGGGCCCCTCTCTCTGAACTCCTTTATGGTTTCTGTCATGCACAGACTGCATGGAAACCCTAGGGCACAGGCTGAGGCATGAGATCCCACTTACAGCAAAGCTACCGAGGCCCTAGGGCTGAGGGTCACCATCACAGAGGCAGTGACCTGGCCAGAAAGCCTTTCATCGACTGCAGTATGGTCCCTCTTAGGTCCTCAATCACTTTCCCTCCCTGGCCAGGGCAACTCCATGCTCCATCTGCCGAGGGGGACAAGCTTCCACAGCACCCCCTAGGCCCACCTCCACTCAACAGGAGGCCCTGGCTCTGCTCACTCACTCAGAGTGCCTGCCCTTCGTGTGGAAAGCATTTCCCCACAGGTGGTCAAGGGGCCTCGTTGATCTAGAAGTTACTAGGATGCTCCAGCTTCCATCTCTAGATGAGGAAACAGGGCTTTCCCCAGGCAACGGCCACATGCAGCCAGTAGCAAGCCCAGAAGAACTCCTAGCCCTTGTTTCAAGCACTCTCGTGGGTCTCAGCAGGGTGGGGAACTGTGCCACTGGCAGACACCCTTCAGGGTTATTTCAATTAAAAAAAAGGAGAGAGCCAGGGATGGGGCCAGTGCCAGGCTACTAGTTTAGGACCTTCTCTGTATGCCAACCCTTCTGCCTAGACCCAGCGGGAAGCATCCTAACTAAGACCACTTGCTGTATAGGCCCTAAGCTCTCCTGGGCTGGCCCGGAATAGGAAGGGACAACTCTAGGACTAAAGGGCTTTAGCGGGGCCAGTGCCTCTTGCTCACGCCTGTCTTCAGTTATTCTGAGAGTGGGACTCTGTTTCCTTCCCAGGGAACATCTGGTACTGCCAGGGTCAGGGTGCTGCTGGGGCTGTGTCAAGACCCTCGGGATCTTCAGGGAAAAGCACTGAGAAGAGGCATCTAATGGTCTAACCATTGTCCCTCCCTAGGCTTACCACTCAACCCCACCCCCAGCGCCTCCCACCCTTGAGCCTTTACTGACCCTCGTAAATCCAGAATCTAGAAAGGACTTCCGTCGTTGCACACCCATACCACAAAGCTAGAACTCCCAAACAATTTGTGAGGCATCCATGAATGCTATTCAGGCATGGCATGACAGATGAAGTAACTGAGGTACAGAGAGCTTCAGGATGGTACCCAAGTCTCAAAGCCACTCAGGGTCAAAAGCATGATGCAAAGTCAAGCTGACTATCTCCATGAGCCAAATCCTTTGCCCCTGGAATGTACAATGCTTCCTCCACACACTTCATCAGGCTTTATCCCACTGGGATTAGAAGACCTCTATGTTTCCTGTCCAACCTAGCCATAGGCTATGAGCCAGGAGTGAAGGGCAGGTCCTGCATGGTTCAGCCTGCCTCCCTAGGATACTGGTGAGGTCCTGTGCTAAGCAGGGTCCCCTCTAGTCCTACCAAGGAAGCTTCTTTCTTGTCACCTCCCAGCTTGTCCTAGAACCCTCTCTGCTGACTCGGAGTACAGCCTTCCAGGGTGGCTGCTTATTCAGCAGAGGGAAAGCCCTTGAAGCCAAGCCTCAGCTTCTAATCCCAGCTGCAGCCCAGTTGCGACAGCTCCCTGGGCCTGTGAACACTACCAGCCTGCAAGGCTGTCATGGAAATTGTGTCTCCTACCCACACCCACACTTCTGTAGCCTCCCTCAGCACATTCTGCTCAGTTTCTCTGCCAACTCCAGGGTGGAGGTGACCAGAGCACTAACGAGTCCACCTACCACCCTCTTCCATAAGGAAATTAGAATGCTCATGCCACCAAGGAAACCACTGCTCATACCTGATGTATGCTCTGCTGGAGAAAAGTCACCAGGTCCTCAGAGCAGGTCAGACTATACAGTGTGAGCTGTGAAGAAACACACACAAGGTAAGCTACATGTCCCCCTACTGTGTCGAATGCCTATAGCCCTGACTTTACTACTAAAAAATAAATAAGTGTATGGAGTCTTTTGAGTGGGTGAACTCTTGCAGAGTCCCCCTTACACCTCCGTCACAGTTCACAGGGATCCAGCTCCCGGTTTTCAGAGAGTGGGACAAAGAAAGAGGAGGGGCAGGGAAGAATCACTTCTCTATGTCACCACGCCAGGCCAAGTCAAAATCTAACAGGCTGTTCTCAAGCAGGTCAGCAAAAGACACATGTCTAGAAAATATCCAATCAAGCAAGGGTTCAAGAGTCACATGTGTACACGGCTAGGTCACAGGAAACAAATCAACTAAAATAAAAATAGCCAGTGAAGGGTATCAAGTTTCGAGTATCTTCGCTGGGTCTGCATTTTCAATAACACAAGATGCCTTTCCTGCTTCTTCCTTAGCCTTTCCCTGAGGTTGGGCCCATGGCTGCTGCTCCACGTCGCCAATTCCCCTCCCACTTTCTACACTCCAATGCCTCTCCCCATCCATGAGAATCCTAGAAAAGACACAAGAGACACAAGAGGGACAGAGGCCAGTGGAACAAGGGACACTGCACATTGGGCACTGAAAGCACCAAGGGAACCTCTACCCCTGAGCACATGGAGGTGACAAGGAGACACTGAGCCAATCCCCAAAGCCACCCACCTAGTCCCCACCCCCAAAGGGCAGGATTCTGGGGGCCAGGGCTGCAGGGATGGCCAGCCAGCCCCAGCTGGGGAAGGATTTACTTCTATGAAAGGAGATAGTCCCCAAACAAAGCCAAAGGTGGCACGAGAGTTTTCCAGAAAGCCGTACTGTTTCTAAGACTCCATCTGCTTTATATTCCCCTGTTGGACTGAAGTGTGGCGTTCCTGAAGGCCTAAAAAGGAAAAGAAGGTGCATAAGTCCTCGACCAAATGAAAGGGCACACCCTCCAGCCAGTCAGCCCACATGTGCCATGAAATAAATGAGGACAGGAGTGGCAGCTCCAGGGAGAACAGAGCCAAGGGTTTCTCGTGTTTCCTGCTATGAACTCACCCCTGAGTCCAGGGCATGGAAAAACAGAGTGGTGGTTGAGCTTGGAAGAACCATGTCTACGTCTGGCAGGAGGAGACCTGACTCTCCCTTACAGCTGGCAAAGCCATCTGCAGAGGAAGGACTGCTTGCTTGCCACTGTCTTCATGCATCCCCTTAGAAGCCTCTCCCCCCGCCCCCACTGAGACAACCCCCAGCAACCACAATGGGTGTGTAGCCCAGTGCAGTCCTGATCAAAAGTAGCATCTAGGGTGGGACCCACTTGCCACCAGCTTCTATGTGGCCTGGGACAAACCACCTTTCTTCTCTGGACTTCTGTTTTATAAGCTCTTGGCCGTCTGTCCTTAGAACTGCCAAATAGGTCACATGCCTATATTATGTGAATAAATTGCCTGGCATAGAGTGGGGAGCAGTAGTCGACCACCCTAAGCACAACTCACGTGATGCCCAGATAGTGCCCTAAGCACATCACATTTATTATCCCCCATTTATTTACATTAATAAAAGATTCATACTGATAACATTATTATATTTAATACACATCATTTATTTATACATACTCAGTTCTGACAACCATTAAGCTATCATTATCACCCCATTTTTCTAAACAAGTCAGGAATGAGGAATGGGGAGCTAAGGCCAGTTCCTAAGATAACACATCCAGCAAACAACAGCTTTCAGAGTCTGCTGTAGAGAGCCCCCTTTCTTAAGCACTATGCTAAAAGAACCAAACTGGTTTCCCCAAACCACCTTCTTTATCAAAGCTTAGCCACAGAACTCAAGCAAAGTGATGTTTCTACTCTGAGGGACTGTGGGGCAGGATAGAGGTGTCGTCAAGGTAACAGAATCCTGGATCTGAGTTGCAGCCTCTGCCACTCACCTCTCTATCTCATCCTCACTGGAGTGAGGTCCAAGTGACACAGGGGGAAGTACACTTTGGGGTCCTGGATGGAGGCACAGATTCAGCCTGCGGCCTCAGGATCAGGGAAACACTGAGGGGAACTGAGGGCCTGGGTCACAGGCTTTCTCCTGTACTTCCCAAGTCCTGGGTGGTGGGCAGGCAGCAGCACATCCTCCTTCATGAGTTATACAAATTCTCTGTCCAAGACCAGGACATCCTCAGCTATCAGCTGGGCATTAAATGCGACGTGACCCCCAGAACCACTTACAGCGCAACCACGGCTTGCTCTCTCCCTCCGGCGCGCCACAGGATGTCTGCAATGGCCAGGGCAAGGCAGTGGGTCCTCTGAGCGTCTGAGGGCTGCAGCCGGCTAATGAGAAAGGGAGCATGTTTAGGTTCATGAAGACACAGGGCAGAACAGGCGTGCCCTATCAGACATATTTAGGTGACCCCTTTGCACATGCCTCCTCTTTCCTTGCAGACCACGGACCCTTGGCTAAGCTTCAGGGTCTGTAGGATCTACAGATGAAGACCAGAGGAGGAGTTTTGAGGTTAGGGACAGGAATATTAACTACAGGAGCAAAAAGGACCTCAGAGGCTTGCCAAGACCTGGACATGAACTGTAAGAGGACTTCTCATTCTGACAAGGCCAAGAATATGCTGGCACTACTGCCACAATGGGCAGATGTGAGGCCAGTCCCAACAGCTAAGGCCAGGTAAGACTACAAGTGACCAGGAGCCAGCACCCTAACTAGCTGACTATGTAAATACAAGTTATGGGTGAGGAAGTCAGACTCAGGGATGGCTGTAGGGGTGCTGCCACGCTGCCAACTGAAACAAGTGTGTGACTGGCAGCAGTGGCTGTGCTGTGATGGGGCTGCCACTCCTTAGACCACTTGAGAAGCTGTGAGATTCATGGAAAGCATAGACAAAGTGGGAAGGAAAAAGGCTGCTAGGCTGGACCTCCAGGACCTAGGGGAGGCGCAGGATAGGAAGGTCAGAGAGAGAGAGGCAGGACACAGAGCAGCAACATGCAGGCACAGGGCAGTTTTAGGAAGTTCAGTCACCACATCTAAAGCCGCTGAGCCATCCTGCAATAAAAATGGTGACTAAGAGGTTCCTGGGACACGGCAAGAGTAAGAGGGAGGAAGGCAGCAGCCAAATATAGCCATTTCTTTCCACTTGACATTTCCAGGGCTCCTCTGTGCTAAGCTCCTGGCTTTCCTCTCTGCTCTGAGGTGCTCCCTACATTCTTGCAGAAGCTGGCTTGAACCTCCTCTTAACCAACACGGTGAGGGGGCAGGGCAAAGAAATGTACACAGCAGAATTCCAGGTTTTCACTCACACAAAAAAAAAAAAAAAAGCCTGACCTCCACACTGAGATGTCTGAGCAAAAGAGTGCTGGGATCCATCCATCCCATCCTGCCAGGACAAGAGGAGAGAAACCAGGAGATCAGGAAGCAGCTACCATGGTGGGACACAGAGCCATGCACCTTCAGCCAGGCTGTTATTCAAAATGAAAATCTAATTACTTGAAAACAAAAGGTGGCAAGACACAGTGGTGCCTGTTTCCCCATTTGGAACCGGCGATGACAGTGAGCTCCCTCAGTATTGGGAGCCTTAAACAAGACAGTGCCTGTGAGCCTGGTCCCTAATGCATGGGGAGTTTTCAGTCGCTGGTTCCATCACCACCAGCGTCACCACATGGGCCACATCCACAGACAGGGGTTCACCTGACCCCTGCTGACATGGCGCTCCTGCACTGGCAAGGCTGTAGGGGCAGCAAGACGAGCAATGAGGCTCAGGCTGGGAGAAAATAAGCCAGGGACCGCCTGATGCTCCTCAAACTCAGGAAGCCTGTCATATTTCTCACAGGAAATGGGGACCATATCATCGCCAAACCGGATGGCCTACGCTGTTAGGAGCACCAACCCGGGTCAGCACTTGCTAGGAAAATAACATTGAATAAACAGTTCTCTGGATTTCAGGAGAGGCCATGCCAGGGACAGAGCTGCCTGGATGGTAGAGACGGGCAAACAGCAGGCAACAGGACTGGATGTTAATTCTTTAGATTCAGAAACTACGAACAGGCTACATGGCTCCCCAAATGACAGCCATGGCTGTCTCGCTGCGTGCCTGCGTCTCATGTTTACCTTCTTCTCGCCTGTGCTCCACCGAACGGCTACAGCCGCTCCCCTCCTAGCGCCCCTAAAATACCTGCAACCTCACAGAACACCTTCACCAACATGTTCAAGGTGGGACCACTCCTCGCAGTGACCCCACCTCCACCCAGATTAAAGCCCTCGCCTGGTAGGAGATGTGTAAAAGTTTGCCTGAACAGAAGCACTGCCTGGGACACCTATGGCTGGGGAACCTAACCTACAGTCTAGGGGCCATGGACCCCATCTGAGTACCGCACTTGAGGTAAATGGGGGAAGCATGCAATCTTTCCTCGGAAACCTTTCAATACAGCGACAGTCAGGATTTCTTTTTCATGTGAATTACTGTTTTGTTTACATTTATGTCTATGTGAGAGTGTCAGATCCCCTGGAAGTGGATTTGGAAGCTGCCATGTGGTTATTGAAGATTGAACACGGGTCCTCTGGAAGAGCAGCCAGTCCACTTAACCACTGAGCCATCTCTCCAGCCCGTCATTCACGATTTTAAAAATTACTACAGGAGTCCTAGCAAGAGCCTGGCCCTGATGACAAGGACTCTCTCTATGCATCTTTCATGAGACGGATACAAACAGCCCCGGGAGTTCTGCACCATGTCATCCTCTTTAAGAGTGAAGAACCCAGTCTTGGGGATGAAGGGATGTATCCAAGTCACAGGGAAGGGGAACAAGGGAGAGTCGAGTTAACCACGGTTTTATGACCTGCCACCTGCCTTGCAGCCCATCTGTCAAGCATCCTGTGACACAATCCAGGCAGCGTTCCCCTGGGCCAGACTCTCCTGTCACTGGCACTGCCTGCTGCCTCCCTGAGCTGGCCTGTTTCTAGAGCCCTCACCCTCCACGTCAGCTTCCAGTCAGCAGCTGGCCTTCTCTATCTTTCTGAAGGTGTGACTTCCTGAGACCTCGAGAGATCATTTTCTAGATAACACAGTGGATCATAGAAAGTGCAGTGACCAGCAGTCAACAGGTCTGGGGTCAGTATCTGGTCCCCAGGCAGCGGGGAGTCCGACACCCTCTTCAGTCTTGCTGTTCTGTCATTTTGGTTACCCCAGAGTTGTTGGGGCTCTCTATGTCAGTCACACACACACACACACACACACACACACACACACACACAAACGCACTTATCCCAAAGGTGACAACAAAAGATGGGTTGGTCACCTGTAGCTGCCTACATAGCCAGGACTTGACCCTCACCAGTAACTGGGTGATAGCTTCACTGGCGATCCTCTGGGGACAGAGAAGGCCCTACATTACCTAGACATCAGACACAAACTTATCACATTCCCACCAGAAATCTGGCCCCCAGCCAGGCTCTTACAACAGAAGTTTCTTCAAGAGCCTAATTCCTCCAGAAGGGCAGTCTGAAGTGCCGAGGAAGGGCTGGGTGAGAAGCCTGTGTTCGCCCAAGTGTCTCAGCGAAAACAGGTGCTTCTACCTAAACTCAAGACAATTGCACCTGTCCCCAAAGATGCACCCACATGAACCAAGTCTATAGAACGTTCTGGATAAAGCTGGAGAGTGTGTCCAGGCCATGGTTCCTTCATTTCTGCCCCTCTGAGGGAGGGCAGAGGACTGGCTGGCCTAGGGCCACAGGGAACTTGTATCTGGAGAGCCAAGGCAAGTGCTCCTGCTGTGGATTTCATAAAGGAATTATGGTAAGGGGGCAGGATCCCAGTCCCCTCTCTGCATTCCTGCCAGCCTCTAAAGGCCTTTCCAGCCCCAGGGCTCTCCTGGGGCCTCTGGAGGGGATGAGCCAAGCTGCATAGCTCCTGTCCAGTGGAAAAACACCACATCCTGCTGCCTGGCTTTGCCGGGCGAACTGAGGCGAGGCCGTTGCCAGTCTGATGGACTGAGCCGTAATGAGGCCCCACACAGAAAACACACAGCCTCGCCAAGCTGCATTTATTTCTGCCTGGCTTCCCTGAAGGGGCCACCCACCCTCAGCTATGATCTTCTAGAGCCTTGTCCCTTTCTCGAGATCCTCTAGACTCAGTGTACAAGAACCCAACCCAGGAGCTACACATGTGGGAGACCTTCGGGCTGGCAGAGCACCCTGAGAAATACTACAGTTCCAAGGTCAAAAGAGCAGCTGTACTCCCCACCCCACCCCTGCTCAGATGAAGCTGGGCAGTTTCTAAAAACACGGAATTTCAGCGTGAAGAGGGAGCACTCAGGCCTCAAAGCCACCGAGCATACACAGTCCAGGCAGGAACATGGATGACTCTATCCACCAGTACCAGGCGCATAAGTCACCTTATGCAGGACATCTAAAGCAGACGTAATTGTAAACCCCCACCCCCAACACACAAACTGAATGCAGAGTAGTTCTTCTGCACTAGCTTTACTAAACTGCGGCCGAGGATGCTCTGCTGAGAAGCCCTTTGTGCATAGAGAACCTAAAGAATACCGGAGCACCCATCAGCCGTTTCCAACTCCAACGGCCTCACCTCTTCCTGCCATCTCTGGTCCCCGCTGCTTCTAGTGTGCAGGAACATGCTATATGATAGGCAAGATGTCACAGGCTTCTGACAGCAATGGTGCCAACTTTGGCCCTGAGCTAGCAGTTCCCTCATCTGTACCGTGATGGGCTGAGTTCAATGGGCCTGTTCACTTACATGGTCCTGGAAGTTTTGGTTTTTTTTTTAAGGTTCTGTTTGCATTTTCTCAAGGAGTGCAACTTAAGGGTGTTTACTAACTCAGAGATGTGAGCCCTCCTCCACCACCACCTCCACAGTAACACAAGTCCTGTGCTCTCTGTCACCCCACCCCCAGCATACTGACTCCTTCCTCTCTCAGGACACACCACACCCACTGGACAAGGGGAGCCTTCAACCTGCAGAACACTAGCAAGGCAGAGGCACATACTACAAATGGCACTCCTCCACCTCCTCCCGGCCCATCCCCCTGCTCTGTCCTTCTATCAGTATTAGACTAATCCCTGTGGGCCCAGTGGTTCTCCTCCGGATCCCTAGCTGTCTGCCTAAGGCAGTGGGACCACGCCCCTGGTAGGAGACTGGGGAGTGCATCAGAGCCCTTACCTAGAGCCCTCTGTCAATCAAGAGTCCATGCTGGTCAGCTGTGAGGGCCTTGGGGACTTTCACAAATCACCCCTTCACCATCCCTCCCTAAGTTTCCTCTGACTTCAGAGAGCTGAACCAAGCTTTCCTGCTTCACTCTCACAGCGTAGGAAGGAACACTGTGTGCTCTTAGCCCGAGGACCACAGGGATACAGGATGCAGAGGGTTCCCTCTCACTGAGTAGGAAGGAACGTCATGTGCTCTTAGTCCGAGGACCACAGGGATGGGATGTAGGATGCAGAGGGATGGTGAGCAGCATCCAGAGCTACCAGGCCCACTTCATCATCCTCCAAAGACAGATCCCACAGACACAATACCATACACTCACACAATACAAACTACACACAGCAAAACCTACTCACACGACACAACCATCACAGAACACAACCCACAAATACAATGTCACCCAACTCACACAAATATAACCCACTGACGTCACACAACCCACATATAACACAACCTCCTACAAACAAGAACCACTCAAATAACATAACATACCCAAATACCCTCCAACACAACACATTTCCACATATAACACAGCCCTCATACAACCCAATCTTCATGCCATATAACCCACATACAATACAACCTTCAAACAACCCACAACACATTCTCAAAGAACAACTCTCAATATAAGCCGCATACTACAAACTTCACGTAACATAATTCAGACATAAGATAGACAGCCAACACAATCCCACATCTCCCAAATAGAGCACAATTATCCCATAAAACAAAATTCACACACACACACACAATACAATCCCATGATGCAACTTTTCTACATTACATAACTTTCATACAAGTATGATCTCCACACAGCACAACCCCCTCAATGTAATACAGCCCAACTATCACACACACACAACACAACACAGCTTCCCTCACAAAATACAACTCACATGCAGTAATTCAAACACATGGTACAGCCCTACATACAACACAACCTTCCCCCACACAAGACCCCAAACAACACAAGCCTCCAACACTACAGCTCCCACACAGAACACAGTCCTCATACACCACAGAAGTCCCAACAGCCACTTCCCTCCTCCCTCCAGGTGTGCCCCTCCCCCAGCCCCAGCACCCAGCATGACCCAGGGCCCACATACAAATACTGCAGGTGGGGCCTCTGGGTTTTTGTCCAGGTGAGCCCACTTTCTTTCCCAGGTCCCAGCACACAGGAGCTCTAAGCCAAGGCCACACTTCTTCCTGCTCCTCTCCCTAGCAGAGCCCTGGAAAGTTGCCCACGCAGCAGTGCACAGATTAGGCCTATGTAGTGATATTTTGTTTGTACTTTAATAAATAAAGCTTGCACATTGAGCTTTACTAGAAAGACCAAATTCACTTTCCAGTGAACCTATAGTGGTTTTGGCTTTCACTCACAATGTGCTTGAATTCTTTTTATTGGACATTCTGGTAATATATGTTGGGGCTTAAAAGTAGTTGTCAATACTGCCTTCTGAAATGGCATTTTTGACATGCAGTTTCTAAGGATATTGATGAACATTTTTGAAAATTTTTCTATGAAGAGTTTAAAAGAAAGAAGGAGAGATAAAGAAAGAAAGAAAGAAAGAAAGAAAGAAAGAAAGAAAGAAAGGAAGGAAGAAAAGAAAGAAAAGAAAAGAAGGAAGAAAGCAAGCAAGCTTGCCTGAAGATCAGAGTGAGGAGACAGCCACACTAATTAGCCATAGAGGCCAGGCAGTGGTGCCACAAAACTTCAATCCTAGCACTCAGGACACAGAAGCAGATGGATCTCTGTGAGTTCAAGGCCACCCTGTAGTACACAAAATTGAATCAAATCTAAAAGAGAAACAGAGCCAAGTACCTTTAATCCCAGCACTAGGGAGGTGGAGACAGGGAGTGATATGGCTGGGCAGAGAGAGGGATATAAGGTGGAGGAGACAGGAGCTCAAGATTCAGTCTGCAGTTTCATAAAGATGGCATTCAGTTTGCAGATTTGTAGAAACAGGATACCCCGTTCGGTCAGAGAATTTCGTAGACTTACTTCTCTGATCTTTCAGCTCTGGGTTTTGTTATTAAGACCAGTTAGAGTCTTGCTACAGGCCTAGGCAGTGCTTGACATGTGCTAAACAAGTGAGGACCGTGAGGGAGAGCATCACCTTCCACCACTTGGGAGGGTTTTCTCTGGACTCAGCAGAACCTTAGGCTCCAACCTGAAGGGCCTTCACAGCCCTGGCTCCCTTCCCCTGTGGGCTGTAAGAAACTACGACAGCTTCCATCGTGGGCAACATCCCACTTCCAGGACATAGCATCTGACTACTGGGAAACCATCTATGTATGACTCCCCAAAAGTCCAAAGCAAGGGATCTAGAGAGGCTCTGAAGGAGTTTGGGCTGACAAGCGTCATGAGACAGCAATCACACGGGCCAGGGCCAAGACTTACTCAAAGTTGCTAGAACTTCTAAGAGCTCATAGGCCCGTCTGGTTGCCTGGCCCTACCCCATCGCTGGCCACCTCAGGCAACCTCTGTTCTTCTCCCTGCTCTAGGGTCTTTCCACATCTTGTTCTCTTTACTGGAATACCATTCTGCCTCCCCTCCCTGTTTGTCTGGACAACTCATTCACTGTTCATCCACTCATTCAACAAAAATCCTAAGGGCCTGCCCTGTGGTCCAGGCACTGTGCTGGATTCCAGGAACCAGCCTGTGGACCAGGCAGCTCAGGGAAGTAAGTCCCTGTTCTCACAGGGCTTGTGTTCTTCGGGAGGAGGCAGATATGGACACCTAACTGCACCGATGAACAAGTGTACAGTGAGTGATGGTGTAACTAGAAGCAAGGCACGGGTTTACCCTCCCTGGAGGTCAAGGGAGGCCGTCCTTGAGGGTGGTGAGAGGGGCCAGCAGACAAGCTGCTCGGGCCCATGGGGAAAGAATCTGAGGGTGCATGCTGAGTGCCAGGAAAATGTAAAGGAACTGAAATATGACATGCATGTGTGATGGAGAGAGTAAGGAGCTTCCTTCCCTCGGAAGACAGCAGTAAGATCCAAATGGAGCTGCAGGGAGTCTGCTCTCCCACCTCTGGCGGCATGCATGGCCCATCATCACCTGTCTGGCTCTCCTGTTCAACTCTAGCAGCAATGAGGGGAAGGGCACCATTAGCACAGTCCTATGATTTCTGGTCCAAGCTAAGAAGGAAAATAGGCAAGGGCCCTGCTGAGGGTGGCAAGGGTCCCAAACTCAGCAGATATTGTCACGTCAGGAGTGTCAAGTGCTTCTGGAGAGCAGAGACAGTGCTGGCCTCATGAGAAATCAATAGCAAATCTCAAACCTCTTGGTCGGCACCGCTGGTGGGAGGAGGGAGAAAAAGCACTGGTTTCCCTCGCTGCACAGAGGTGTTCGAGGAGTGCTGACAACATGCAGACGGATGAGGAGGGTGCCTAGGTGCAAATACCTTGCATGTGAAATGGAAAATACACAGCCACAAAGGGGAGAAAGTCATGCACAGTGGAGTTAGCTGGAATGTGCAGTTCTGGTTGTTGACAGAGAAGAGATAGGGGAGGGCGAGCCTTGGACCTGGTCAGAGGGTCAGCAGATGCTTATGGGTGAAGAAGGGGTCTGAGGAGGCAGTAAAGTTGCCAAGCCATTTTCAGTTACTTGCCGAGTGGAGCAAAACATGACTCACCAACCTTGCCTGCTCATAGAAGCAAAAGTACCATGTCCATTTAACCAGACCAGCAGGAGCCCTGTTTTCACCTGTCTTGACCTCCAGGAAATGGGAACTATCAGGGAACACCCACGCTTCCTTGCTTATTTATTCTGGACACTCAAAAGAAGCCTTGGGAAGGGAAGATGAGCACCGACTTACAGATTACAGTTGGTTCTGCTGTCTCCTTCAAACAGGAGTTTCTGCAGCACACAGCCTTGAACAGCCGCCAGAACCCCACAGGGACCACCCTGCAGAGAAAGACACACGTCACTACCAGTGAAAATGGCCCCAAGAGCCGGGCAGTGGTGGCACACGCCTTTAATCCCAGCACTTGGTAGGCAAAGGCAGGCAGATCTTTGTTAGTTCTAGGCTAGCCTGGTCTACAAAGCGAGTTCCAGGATAGGCTCCAAAGCTACAGAGAAACAACGTTTCAACAAACCAAAAAAAAAAAAAAAAAGAAAAAAAAAAGAAAAAGAAGAAAATGGCCCCAAGAAGCTGTCCATTCCACCCACCAGCTCTAGCCCCAGTCACAGGGGATCTTCAGCAAGGTTCGGCCTATGAAGACTCTCGAAGCAAGGATCACAGTGGCCCTTCTCATTCTAGCAACTTAACTGCCTGCCCCAAGGGACAACCAGGTAATTGCAGGGTCATCCCACTGATGCTCTCAGAGGTCACCGTGTGCATGGTGTTCCCACTTTGTGTGGGACACCCCAGAAGAAAAACCCCTGGGGACCCCAAGAGCAACGTGCCTTGTTCTGCACAATGCCATATTTTAATGAGGCCATGTCACTGAAGGAAAAGTTCTGAAGTTTCCACTCTTCACTGAAGCAGCAAAAGGTAGAGCCAAACAGAAGGGTCTTCATCTCCTGGGAGGGAAAAGCGTATCACTGGATGTTTGTAAAATAAACAATAACAAGGCTTGCAGCACAGGCCCTGCAGGAGTCGGTCGTGGGTTCTAGAAAGTACATTTTCTCGCAGTGGTCTCTATTTTGCAAGCCCATTCTTCTCATATTTGAGGAAGATAAACCTGACCTTAAGGGCCTCCTTACCTCTGGAACATCTGTAAACCACACCAGTCCATGCTAACATGGGCCAAGATTTTCCTTACACAGACCTTGAAATATAAAACTCTGGCTTCACCAGAGATCCTGGGGGGCCTCAGATCCCCCCTCAGAAAGACTGTAAGTTTTCCAGCCTGACCTCACATTAAAATGATCTAGGGGCACTAAAAATAATCCTGATGCGTAGGCCATGGGCTGGGTCAATTCAATCCACATTCCTGAGGATGAGAGGCCGGTATCCATAGGTTTGTTTGGTTTTTTAATACACTAAAAATGAAAGCCATGGCTTCCTGTCTTAGGCCTATTATCATATTTTAAATTAACTCAAGTGATTCCACTTTGTAGCAAGGTTTGAGAGCCACAAGTCTGGCACAAAGTTAGCAAACTATAGTCCATAAACTAAATCTGGCACCTACCTAGTTTTGTAAATAAAGCTTTATTAACAACAATGGGCATTGTTTATACTTTGTCTATGGCTGCTTCTATATCACAGCAGCAGGTATGAGTAGTCCAACACAGACCAGGGCCCTGAGCAAAGTCAAAAGCATGTTCTCTAGCTTTCTGTAGAGAATGAATTCCCTCTAGGATGCCACCTGTAAGTGATCTCCCTCTAAATCTTATGGAAAGCTCTACTGCCCAGAGAGCTTCCTACCTCCTCCCATTCTTCCAGATCTCCAGCATCTCTAGACTTCAGAGGACAGTCAGTTTGTGGTCCATTTTTCTAGCAACCCATGCACCTCTGTCCACTTTGCAATACTAATGCTTCATGCTGACAGGTCCTACCTTCTGCTACCCCACAGGATGGTCTATGGCTTTCCATCACCGTTTTACAACCAGGGGTGGGGTTCTCTGAAGCCTCGAGAGGGCTCTAGGACCAGCGGGCTGGTCTCCAGCCCCTCCCTGGAGCCTGTTCTCAAGGTCAGGCTCCTCCTGTGGACCTGGATCACTGTCAATTCTTTCATCCCTTCCTTTATAACAAGGAATTCCATGACATAGACATGCGTCTACCTGTCATCACCAAATGTGGCCGACAGCACACTGGATAATGAATTCATCCATCAGGGCTTGGTTCCCCTTCTGTGCCGAGTAAAACCATGAGTGTGCTTGGAATGCTCTTCCCCCGCCTAAAAACTACAGACTTGGGTCTTCTGGGTGGATCTGTTGCCATTGTCTTGGTCAAAGACTGACAGTTCCAGGACACACCATGTGTTTAACGGCCCAGAAGCCTGAGCATGTCCTTTCCTTTCTGTGAAACTCATTCTCTCAGATTGGTTTGGGACAGCTCTTACTGGGCAGTCTCTGGGGGCCTCTAAGGGCTCGGCACCAAGTGGATGCGTTTGTACAGAGAGGTCCATGGTCCTATGGCTACAGATGATTAGAGATGGTATCCGGGATCGGGACCCCTCCCATGTGTCGAGCCCACTGTAACTTCAAAAGCTGAAAGGGGAACAGAGAGGAACAAAAAAGTAAGGGGAAACAAAACCTCTAGAAAAATCTTTTACATCAGGATCTATATGCTGAGAACACACAGTTAAGTGGGCCAAGAAAGAAGTTGGCTGTATCTCTAGACACGTCTAGGCTTCGTTCTGGATCCTAGCTGAAAGGCTGGTGAGGAACAACAGGAACAACACTTCATCCTGCAGGAGGCTCTAGCCAAAGGAGGGGCGAGCCACCCTGGCAATTAAGGATGCTGAGGAACACAGGAACCTCTGCCAAGGAGGCCATAAGGCACGGAACCTGTGTCCTGCTGTCATGGGTCCACCTAAAAGGCCACAGGTTCAAACCTGGATATGCTGACAAACTGCCAGCCCTCCCTGTCCTTCCAGCTCTGCAGCTGCCCAGAATCTAGTGCATAAAGTCAGTGTAGGTCCAGAGTCAGGCTCACAGGACAGCTAATGTCCTCTAATGTCCCACTGCAGCAGGTGAGGCAGCTCTGGGCCATAGAAGAGCAGGGTCCTGCAGCATCCAGAAGACTCAGTTCTCCCATAGTTCTTTGACAGTTCTGGAACTGCCACTCTTTGGCTAAGCGGATGGCAACAGGGTCCACCCATAAGACCCAAGTCTGCCTCATGGAGGCAGGAGAGCAGCCAGGACTAAAACAGTCTTCCTGCCCCTCGGTTCAGGTTTCTTAATATATCACATCCCAGTTCCCACTTCAACAGTGCCCAAGAGATTATAATGAAAAAGAACCACTGAGCCCAAAACATCAAAGCTGTGCAGTTTGCATCCAGCTATATTTAATGTGGACTCCTTACACCTCTGCACAGACACCTACCTTTGCCAATGAGAGATCAATTGGCTTTGATACAGTTTGCAGCTTGAGCATTGATGGAAGTGGGGACAGGACAATGTCTTCCTTTATGAGTTCATCCTCAACATCCTCTGGAAGAAAACATGGCCATGGTGTGGGTCAAGGGGAAATGGAACAGGAAATCACTTACACAGCCGCCACACTGAGAACTTTGGAAAAACTTGAGAATATCTCAGACTGAACAACAGCCTCCACATCAGGCCCCAGCCCTCCCCCACCAGGAAAGAAAGCAAAGAGGGGACCTCCTCCTGGTTACCACCGCTCCCTCATTGTGCCACAGGTGGACAGAGTGAAGCCTACAGCCAGTGAGCCGGGCCCAGCTCTGACACACTCTTTACAAAAGGTCAGCAGGAGGCACAAGTCTGTCACCCTAAGGACACATGAGAGGAGGCTGGTGTTAAAGGAGTCACATTTCTACAAATTCTTATGATCCTCAGTGCTATTCATTGGACATTTGAGTTGTGCCACTCAACCCCAACTTGGCCTTTTGAGAGTCTGGTTCCTACTGCCCCTAAATATAGCAAGCACATGAGGCATAGGCAGTGTTATGGCTGTCCCAACTGGGACAGGGAGAAAGTGGCAGAGGCAGGACATAAAACAAGCTGACTATAAACCATTTTGTACCCTGCCTCCCTTTGTGCTCCAGTCAGAAGGGAACCAGGATATCTCTTGGGTATATGGTCTCACAGCTGTGATGACAGAGGAAGAAGGAGAATCCTGCCAGAGTCTTCAGCAGCACTGGTCTGTGACACCTCAGCTGGTAAGACCCTCTGGCCTTTCCGTGTCTGTGCAGCATCTACTAGAATGCTCAGATAAAGGACCCCAGGAGAAGGGACCCCTAGGTAAGCACGCTGGGAAGGCTGAGCACATACTCCGCAGAAACATTGCCAGTGTGGGTCTGCCATTGGGGCGGGCAGGCAGAGGGGAATCTCAGGACAACTTCCCACTTCTATCTTACTCAGCAGCCTCCTTCCCCATCGGGTTGAGCCAGCCACCACACAAGGAAAACTCATCCACTGAACAAGAAGACGAGGCATGAACATCGGAGTGGGGGCTGGTAAGAGGGGTTTCAGCAAGTGGGGGGGGTGGATGAGAGATGGCAGGTGGGGTCAAAATGACAAAAATCCATTCTCTATATCTATAAAATCAGCAAAGGTAATTTTTTAAGACTGACTTTAAGTAAGAAGCTAGATTTAAATGAGACCTTTCTTAGTTTGAATCTCTGGAAACGTTACCCTGTGACCAAGGCCTTATAAAAATAACCAGAAATAGAAACCAGATGTTTCCAGCAACGTGAATAGATCTTAGAAACATGGCACTGTGTATAAAAGGGAAGAAATCAGATGAGATAGCAAATAAAGACACACACATTCCAAGCAATGCCCCGACTCCACGGGAACAGATGTAGCTCATGCCTACTGTAGTGAGTGAGGGCTGAAGGGAAGAAGGAGGGCATGGCTGACAGGCAGACATCGTAAAGATATACGGGGAGAGCAGAGACCAGAAATGTGGCCTATCTCACCGTGGGCACCGGAGGCCCCAGTCTACCAGGCAGAGCAACCAAAGCGACTCTACCAGGCCTGAAGGGCTCCTTGCAGTGCTTGGGTCCGGCCTGATTCCTGAGGAATGAGAGGAACAGAGCTTGAGCTCCTTTGAAGACCTCTGTCTGGTGCACTGTAAGGGGTGGGTATGGAGGGGGCAAGAACATACTCTGCTCAGCCATGGACTGAGTCTGGGATGGAGACAGGGAGTTAGGAAGAAAGACTCGTAGGACATAAAGGATGGTGGTGGGCAGTGGAGCCGGAAACCTCCCTTGGATTCTGCAGGGAGGACCTGGCCCAGCACAGGGAGTTGGTTTAGGACCACACTGCAGGCCTCAGGGACAGATGTGGCGAGACCATCATGCAAGGGAAAACGAAGCACTGAGGAATGACATGCTGGCCAAGACACCAAACTGTCTGCAAATGCCAGTGGTTTGCGAATGCTATTTTTAAGGCTGGCCTATGAATGTGTGGTTGAACGGGAGCTAGGGGTTTGTTTTCCCATTTCATATGCGCTTTGGAGGGAAAAAATTTAGGGGGGCATGTGGGTGGAGAGAGAGAAAAAGAGCCACATTTCCCTCCGAGTGGGATCCAAAGAGAATGAGAGGCGTGGTGCTGACGCTGACTCCACAGGGACACGGCCATCGGGCTCCCTTCTGTATGAACTGCTCAGATGTGGCATCTCTACCAGTAAGCCGCTACTTCCTACTGGCCCCAGGATACTCACAGGGAACCCCCATCCCTTGACAGTCCTCCAAGATTTGGGTTTCATAAGGATCTCCTCACCCCTCCCCTCGTGTCCCAAGACAGAATCTCGGTCTTCCCCACCTACTGTGGCTCCCGCCTTTGGGTTTTCCCATCTTTCCAACATCTCATGCTTATCCCTTCTCTCTCCATTGCCCCAGAAAGTGTGTTTTTCTCTATTTATCCAAAAGCACTTGTGTGTTTGCAGAGCTGAATATTAAACCCAGGGTCTCATGTATGCTACACAAGTGATCTGGTACTGCCTCTGATCCCAAGTTCTCCCTGCTTGCTTTTTCACTTTTTATTATAAGACAGAGTCTCACTAAGCCACCCTAGCTTTGAACTCACTTTGTAATCCAGGTTGGCCTTGAACTCATGGTTATTCTCTTTCCTTAGAGTTCTAAGAAGTCTAACTACAGGTCTGTATCACCGGGCCTGGTTTTATGGCATCCTCTATCAAACACCCATAGTTAATATACTGGAGATAGCATGGGACAGAGAGGCCCAGAACTGATGAAGGGACCGTTCTGTTCTCCAAGAGATCCCAGCCCAGAGAAAGAGACACAGAGCCCCAAACACAGTGGTGAAATGTGCTGGAGTAGGAATCTGGGCAAAGGTTCAGGAGCAAAGAGCAAGACAATGGACTCTGTCACGAGAGGTAGAGGAAGCAGCCCATTAAGGTGGCATGTGAGGTCTCGAAACTCTGAGGGGTGACTAGGGACAGACGAGCCCTATCCCTCTGCTGTGAGCTTCTCAAGGGCTCCTCACAAGCCCCTTTCCAGGGGTTCCTACATTGGAATCCATCCTGGGCCAAGTCTACACGGCTCAATGCATAGCCCTGACTTTCAGCAGCTCCTGATGCTGAGCAATTCAGTCCAAACCTTAGCACAGCCTTCAGAATCCTCTGTGCCAGCTGCCCCAGCCCCATCCTGACACTCACTCCCCTTGGCCCTGCTCCTCTCCAGAGCCCCCCTCACGCTCATCATTGCCTCTGCTTGTGAAGTTCCTCCCATATCTCCCTTGGGCAAGACCTGGCCCATCCTCCAGAGTCAACCTGAATGTCACTCTTTTATGGACCTCCCAGGGCCCAACACAGAACCAGCCTCCTGTATCTCCTGAAGCTCACATGTTCTATGGGAGGACATCTCTCTCTTTGGGGCCATCCAGCTCTGCCCTTCAAAAACAACATGTTCTCCACTCAGCAGCCTGCCTTCAGCAAAGCCTCACCTACACCTGCAGGGAGCTACAGACGAAGCTCCTAAACCAGACCAAAGGCAAACAGAAGGGAGCATGGACCCTCTCCCAGAATGCACTGCCTCTGTCCTGCACCCCATATCCCTTGTCCCCCAACCCGCTCTGTGTTTCTCTTCCCTAACTCTGTTCTCATCCTTTACTTCCTTTCCTTTGTCTGAATCCTCCTCCGAGCTAGCAGCAGAAGGTCCCCTCCTTCCAGATAGGACTTCAAATGGCTTCTGGGAACCGCCAAAAGCTTCCCTTCCGAAAGGAGTTCTGACGGCTGGGAACTGAGTTGCTTTGTGTCTGAACACGAGCTGCTTTCATCAGAAAAGCTTCAAGAGCTGCATAACCCCGAGGCTTTGAATGCCAGGGTTCCTTAACTTTCCTTTACTCTGTACAGTCATGGACAGAAAACTGCCCTTCCTGGGCAGGGCCACATCATCCCCGTCAGTGGGTCCTGGTGATTTCTGAGGTTCTGGGACCTCTGAAGTGTGTCATGCAGCATAAACAAGCCTGCCTCCATGATCAGAGTCCCGGCCTGAACTTTCAGCAAGATGAAAGCTCATGGTCGGCTGTACGCCCAGCCCAGGAACTTCTAAGAGCACACCTCTCCTCCTACAGCTTGAAAAGGAATCTCTAAAAGGGAGAGAGCAGCAGAGTGACTGAACAGTGTCTATGTGCCAAAAAGAAGGCCTGCAGGTACAGGGGCTGGCTTCCCGGAAGAGGGCAGACTCAAGAGCACTTAAACTTCCATTTTAAGTCCAACCTTGCCCTGTCAATCCTTCACTCGAGTTTCCACCAGACTCCATCTTCAAGGATTACAGACAGGAAGAAATCGCTTCAAAGCAAAAGTGGAAATAAATGCTCTCTTTGGATCTCAGAGTGCAGCAGCACAGACGTAGCCACTGTGTGAACCGCCCAGGACTGTGCGCAGAGGTGGAGCCCCTCACACTTCTCTGTGAATTTTATACCTTCACCATGTTTCTGAACCTTTTAAGTGGACACGCCACCCCAGGCAGGGGTATCTCATATCTTGGCCTGGAACTGTCTATCAGAAACATTCTAAATGGTCCCAAAGAGCCCCTCTCCTGCAGCTGTGCTATGCAGGTTCAGAGACAAGCAACCTACTTTCTGTTGGCTGGTCCGGTTTGGTTTGGGGAAAAAAAAATTTTCTTTGGTGGGTTGGTTGATTGGTTTGACTTGGTTTTGGAGACAGGGTCTTGGCATATGGCCCAGGCTGGCCTCCAACTTGGAATTCTCCTGTCTTAAGTCTCCTGAGTGCTGGGGTTGCCAGCATGTGTGACTACATTCACATACACAACCAATTTCTTTTTTCAGAACTGTCCAGAGGAGAAAGGCAGGCAGTAGATGGAGACACTGAAGGAACAGAACACCATGGCCCTGAGGAGGATGGCGAAGAGTCTCTCACCAAGCTTAGCTGGAGCCCTGCCTCTGCCTAGACAGCAGAGGGATGAGCCTCACCTACCTAGGCAGCAGAGGGATGAGCTTCACCTACCTAGCCACAGGGCATCTGGCTTATCATCGGCCTTGTCAGACACCAACTGGTTTTTCCTGAAAAAGAAAAGAGAAAAGGAGAAAGAAAACGTCAGTGTGGGAGAGGAGAACGGTAGAGGAACATAAACAGTACGGATGACTGAGGACACCTGACCCTGACACTACGAGATGCCTTGAGCAGGACACAGGCCAACAAAGCTTGATGTCACTGGGACACACTGGGGACAAGGGGCAAGACTTACCAGTGTGTCTGCCTCGTCACTCGTGGTTTCAAAGTCATGCTTGTTTGTTTGTTTCTTCTCGCCCAGCCTCCTTGTAAAACCATGTGTGACCTTGTAAAAGAGACTCCTGGGATGAACCAATGTATGTAAAGGAAACTGGCCCTGTGGTTCTGATTTGCTGTTCGTGTGTGTGTGTGTGTGTGTGTGTGCCCACATGTGTGTATGCGCACACGTATGTGTGTATGCCCATGTGTGTGTATGCCCACGTGTGTGTATGCCCCTACGTGTGTATGTGTGTATGTCCACGCATGTGTATGCACATGCACGAGTACACCCGTGAATTCAGAGCCTCCACCCATGTAGTAGCTCAGCTTAGATTAATTTTCCTCCATCATGCATCAATCTGAACTAAAGGAAACAGAACACATTGAGAGTAACACTCTTACATCATCCTCCAAAAACTCATTTACTATGTCGAAAATGACAGCTCTTTTGAACATGGCATTGAAATATATTTTCCTCCACCGTCTTTGCAGGCTAAGATATGAATGCAGTAACAATCATGGTCTCGCCATGGTGCTCTCCATTGAACTGGCTTCCTCCTGAAGATGTATGAAGGGTGTGAGTGAAGACTGTGTAGGACACACGGTTCTCAGACCTCGTGCCTGCCCTTTGTGGGACTCTGAGTTTCTCTGTGGCTCCAGAACCCAGAGTTCCCTCATGCTCCCTCCTAAGCAGCCTGCTCTCCCCTGTGCCCATCCCATTCAGGAAATCCACTTTATTTCATTCAAACCCCAAAAAATCTTTGAGTCCTGTGCCACCATGACTAGACAGGTGTTTGTAAGGAGCATGGGAGCAGAATGTTCTGGAAAGCTGGGACGAGGAGTCCATGGATGCAGAACATCCCACTAATACCATGAGGCAAAACTAAGTTGCATCACCATTGAAAGTCTCTTCCCACAGATTCTGCCCAGCTCATCTGCTCCATAGCAGGGGCTGAGGACCTGGTGGTCACTGTGACGGAAGGGACAGGGTCCAGGAACATGAGGTCCAGGCACTGCCTAAGATGGCTTCTATAGTTCTCGTGAAGCATTTCAGGTAGGGACAGCAAGGGAATCTCATAAGCACCCCAAGGCCACCAGGGCCTTCTTATACCTACTTGGCTTGACTTCTTCCCCTCTCACGGTATCTCAGCAGCCTTAGTGCCATCCCTACACCCAGAGTGGCCCATCCACAGTCCCCGTGATGTGTGTGCAGAGGCCAGTCTGGTGTGACACCGCACCACCACATAGTTACCTAAAGGTCCCTGCTAACCCCCATGTCAATCACCTACAGCAATTCCATATTTGCCAAAGTAACCACAGCATTAGTGACAAATTCCTCCTGGCTTTGGATTATCCCAGGCACTAGAGTATGTGCTTTGAAAACCTCAAAGGCTGCCTGTCTCCCAAAAGTGTCTTTTGAAGTAGTTATTTCTGAGTCTCAAGAGAGGTTCAGCCGTTTTCTATGGTTTTATATCAAGCAAGTGGCGGCACAGGAATCTAACGCAAGCCACGACTCCAAAGTTAACGGCAGTAGCTATCTCTCATAACTTCCTTCTGAAACAGAAGCAGGCCTATTAAAAGTGCTCTGCAAGGCTCTACACGACCTGCCACCTTCTGTCCAGAGGTATCTCCTGCTGAGCCATCACACTCTGCCTGCCCTACTTACCCTGTGCTCAGTATCTCAGGACAAGCCACCGAGCCTTCTCATACACTATGCCCTCTACACCGAATACCCTCTGGGAGATTCCTAATGCCCTGAAGCCCACGTGCAGAGCCCCCACGCAAAGCATGCATTCACCTCCCAGCACAAACGAAGGGCTTTCTAGCAAGCCTGTCTCCCAGGCAAAAAAAAAGGGGGGGGCAGGATGGTGTGGCAGACTAGCCCATAAAGGCATCCACATTCTAATTCCCAGAACCTGTAGCCATTATCCTAGAGTAGAAATGGGAATGTAAAGGACCTGAGATGGAGAATGATCCTGGGTGAGTCTCCAGGTAGAAATGGTGCAGTCACAAGTCAAAGGAGCTGAGATGACAAAAGCTGAAACCAGGTTGACACACTTTGCAGATGGGAGAGTAAGCCACACAGGTGGCCATGAAGAGTAAAAAGGCAGGGCATGGGCCTTCAGAAAGATCTAGCCATACCGACACTTCGGTGTTAGCCCAATGAAACTAATTTTGGACTTTGGTCTTCAGAACTAGGAGGCATTAAATTCATGTTATGTAGCATGGAGTGGGAGGCTTAGTTTGGCACCACGGAGGGACACAGGACTGCAGCATTCTTGTGTCTCCCTGAGTCCTGGATGTCCAGCGCAAGCCAGTGCTCCAGATAGGAAGCTAAATAATGCAATAACCCTCACAGAAACTGGGCAACTTACACAAGGCCACGCAATTTAGAAGTGCCAAACACTGGGACTCAAACCCAGGCCACTAGTTTCAAACACCTCACTTCTTTAATTTGCACATGCTGTCCCTGCCAGTAACTTCTATGGCATCCCAGGAATGGTGGGACAAGAGTCTCATGAGAGGGTGGGGAAGGTCCACTGCGTGGGGAACAGCAGGGCCTCTCCCCAGTCATGGGACTTCCACCCAGAAGGCTATCCATCAGCTGCAGGAGGAGCTTTGTGCCCATGTCCCATAGATCTCATCACCAAAGGAGACCTCAAGTGTGCTCACACGTGGAGAATGTGCTATTGTTCCTTTCATGTGTCCCTTTGTGGCACAAGCACAAAAGTATGTTCTTGCCTTTGAGTGAAAACAACTACAAACAACAAAGACAAAAAGATAAATCAAGGCTTCAATGCTTTCTCCAAGTGCCACCGCGTGGATAACCCAGAGGTGTGTACCAAGGACCAATGGCAGCCACGCATTTTGTCATACCTAGGTGACCTCCACCCCATTTCTGTTCCTTATCACACCCCACAGAGAGAGTAAAGACCCAGGCCCATGTTCAGGAGTGCACAGGATCAGGACTTAGTCTCCGAGCAACTGAATCCTTGTCTGGGTAGAAAGAGCCTCTGAAACTGTTTGCCCAAGGAATCTCATGGGAATCCCCCAAACAGTCCAGGCTGCTGCCAAGACTATAGGTCATTCTCCACAAACTGGCTAAGGCCCATTGCTGAGGACAACACCTACTCACATGGAGAAGCTGAACTGGTGCCTACATAGAACTCCGACCACCATATTCTAGCATCTTTAGTACAGAGAGGCACTCTGCAAGTTACCAAAGGAAAAACAAACACTAACCCAGCCACAAAACATTTAATTTATAATGGTGTCCTGCCTACAAGATATGCTAAGGTAATGGTGGCACAAAGCTTGTGGGAGTAACCAACCAATATCTGTGACTTACAGCCCGATCCACAAGATGGAACCCATACCCAACACTGCTTGGGTGATCAAGAACCAGAGACTAGGTAGCCCAGAGACCTAGAGTAAAATGAAATATTACTGCTCTTTGAGGAGGAGGAGGAGGAGGAGGAGGAGGAGGAGGAGGAGGAGAAGAAGCAGCAGAAGCAGAAGCAGAAGCAGAAGCAGAAGCAGTAGAAGAAGAAGAAGAAGAAGAAGAAGAAGAAGAAGAAGAAGAAGAAGAAGAAGAAGAAGAAGAAGAAGAAGAAGAAGTAGAGGAGGAGGAGGAGGAGGAGGAGGAGGAGGAGGAAGAAGAAGAAGAAGAAGAAGAAGAAGAAGAAGAAGAAGAAGAAGAAGAAGAAGAAGAAGAAGAAGAAGAA